ATTGTTACCTATTTATCGGACGCTGTTGATGCAAACAAACTTTATATATATATATATATATATATATTCTATTTCAGAATTTATCAAGAATTCAAAAAATTCATAATATATATAAATCTAACACTAGAATTTTTAAAACTCCTAAATATGTTTTAGCATTGATCACAAATTACAGTCAATTTAAGATATCATCATTATATTTAGTACATTAGAACTATATGGATCAAGTAATTTTGCTCAGAATATATATCATCGTAGCAGTAACCTCTTCGAAATTAGAACAATTGTGACTTCCAGCAAAATAGAGAAATTAATAGAAATTTAATGGTTAATAATAATGGTTACTAAATTTAATATTAATTTTTTAACCATTTTTAGAGTTTTACTATTTATCATTACCTTTTAATGTTTTTATCCACGCACTTTACCACTTTGCGATACGATACTAAATTTTTATGTCAGTGTACGTGGATGTTTAACCTATTTTTATTTGTTATATGATAATCAGTCGATATCTAAATGTTCTCAAAGTATGTTTTACACTCAGATCTGAATAAATTTTACATTTGTCAATAATGCGGAATACTTATCAAAAGCAAAACTCTAAGTTTAACACATGCGCTAGAAGTTTAAATTACATTGTTTAGCTGAAGTTACGGAAGATGTTTAACTCTAGTTACTAAATGTAGTTAACTCCAAGACCCCCGAAAACTCCCAGTGTAGTAAATAGTCACCGTTGAACAAGAACAACCGCACCGGTTGCTTTAAAGGCATACGACAACAACAACAACACATGCGTCTAGAAAGTAACTTTCAATGGGAAAATTTTAAATAAACTCTACAAAATTTTTTTATAACTTACTCTTCCAAACATAAACATCGTTGTACCATTCAAACTTACACAGCACTTTAAACTTCAAAGTGCGCTGCATATCACAGCGCTTTTTTATTTACGTAACTTAATTAAAATAAATATTTTTTGAAACACATTATAACCTGATTTGGCACAAATAAAAAAGTTATTTTTAGAAACAGATTTTTTTCAATTATTTTATTATCAATCTGACTTTTATAATCAAAATTTAAAAATTCTGCATTAAAACTAGAGGAAAAAAATTAATTCAGCCTATTTATCTCAAAATATCTCAAACATCATTACTTCTAACGTAACTATCAAACTGTAATAGATATTAATTAGTAGATGTCTGGCTTAAGTAGTAATTAATTAATAACTATATTCCATTAATATATTTCATTAATGTGTTTATTAATAAGTAGATATATTAATACATTTATTGTTGAAAACATGATATGATTTGTCAGGTAAAATCATATTTTCTACATTCTTGCAGCATTCCTGGCTTGTAGTCAATCTGATATTTTGAA